GGCTGCGGTGGCCGGGAGTGGCCACGACACTCCAGTCTGGGCGACAGAGTGAGACTCCGACTCAAAAGAAAAAAACAAAAACGAAATCGTCTTCAGGCTGACCAGGTGCGGGGGGTGGCGTGGGGGTGGGAGGCTCACGCCTGTCATCCCGGCCCTTGGGGAGGCCGAGGCGAGAGGATTGCCTGAGTCCAGGGGTTCGAGACCAGCCTGGGCAACTTGGTGGGACCTCGTCTCTACTGTAAATCAAAAAATGAGCCGGGCGTGGTGGCGTATGCCTGTAGTCCCAGCTACTCGGGAAGCCGAGGGGGAAGGATCGCCGGAGCCCAGCAGGTCGAGGCTGCGGTGGCCGTGAGCGTGCCACTGCACTCCCGCCTGGGGGACGGAGCGAGACTCCAACTCGGAAAAAGAAAAAGGTCGTCTTCGGGTCGAATTCTCGAGTCCCAGTGGCAGTGGGGCCACTGATGTGACTTACGCCTTCTTGGCAGTTCTTACCCATTTCTTGTGGAACTAGCATCCTTGGTGACACAGGGTGAGCTGGCCTGAGCAGAAGCGGTGGACAACCAGCGGTACAGGCTGAGCGGAAGGATCGCTTGAGTCCAGCAGGCGGAGGCTGCGGTGGCCATGAGGGTGCCACTGCACTCCACCCTGGTTGACAGAATGAGACTGACTCAAAATTGAATAAATAAATACAGCCAGGCGTGGTGTCTCAAACCTGTAATCCCACCACTTTGGGAGGCCGAGGCATGAGAATTGCCTGAATCCAGGGGTTCGAGACCAGTCTGATCAACTTGGTGAGACCTCGTCTCTACAGTAAATCAAAAAATTAGCTGGGTGTGGTGGCGCATGCCTGTGTTCCAGCTACTTGGAAGGCTGAGGTGAAAGGATCACCTGAGCCCAGCAGATTGAGGCTGTGGTGGCCATGAGCGTGCCACTGCGCTCCAGCCTGGGGGACAGAGTGAAACTTCAAGTATAGATAAATAAACAAACGCATCTTGAAGAGTTTTTCAACTCCTCGACACACCTTTTAAAGTCTCCCCTAAACTGGTACACCCCTTTCACAAGGAAGGCAAAACTACCACCTTCCCCCACACTTGGTAGTCCTGACTCTGATCCCCAGAGGAATGCTGACCAACCAAGCAGGACCTGTGTTATTTGAAATCTCTCTTTTGCCTTCTGGATTTTAACTTGACAAGCATTCTGTGAACAGGCATTGCCCTTCAGAAGGCATTTCTGTATGCTGGTGGAGAAACAAGACAGACGCATCAATAACTTGGACTTTCCCTGCTGGCATCTTTTCTGTTCAAAGCCTACACGTGCCTCAGGCGGTGTTTGCTCAAGGGAGGACTCAGCTAGAGGTGGGAGGAAGAAATGAGGAAGGCTACACTTAGCTCATCTTGAACTTTTCTCAAAACGAGCAGTTGCTTGGGTTGAGAAATGAACCTGGGAGCGTCTTATCGCAATCTCCTGACGTAAGCTTCTCTTTTGCAGATTTCTTACTCCAGGAAGAAAAATGGCATCTGTTGCAGTCGATCCACAACCGGTATGGATTTTGAATAGCTGTTTCTTGACTCCTTCCTCTCCCCTGTGTTTTGGAGGTTGATAACCACCCCCACCCCCATTTGGTTGCAGAGTGTGGTGACCAGGGTGGCCAGCTTGCCCCTGGTGAGCTCCACCTACGACCTCATGTCTTCAGCGTATGTGAGCACAAAGGATCAGCATCCCTACTTGAAGTCTGTGTGTGAGATGGCAGAGAAGGGCGTGAAGACCATCACCTCGGTGGCCGTGACGAGTGCTCTGCCCATCATCCAGATGTTAGAGCCGCAAAGTGAGTTCTGATGTTTCCCTGGAGATGCAGTCAAGGGACTGGGTCGGGGTGAGCCCCTGAGCTCCTGACAGCAACATCGGGGAATCCTCAGCTTTCCCTGAGAACGCGCTGCCTTTACCTAGAAAACGTCTTGTGACACTCCTTGTCATAGAAGACCTCTTTCATAGCAGTGGTAGGTGTTTGTGACTCCCAGAGACGCTTCTGTGTTGGCAACCGAGATCCCAAGGGAAGCATTCAGGGGTGAATTGAAATAACTGATTTTAAAGCCGGGCTCAGTGGCTCAGCCTGTAATCCCGTGCTTTGGGAGGCTGAGGTGAGTGGATTGCCTGAGCCCGCGGGTTCAAGACC